TGCCCCTTCACCACCATATAAGGTACCTCCTGAAAAAACTACTCCAGCTGCAAACTCTGACTGAAGGGGGCGAGACCCAGACTGTAGCAAACACCCACAATTCTAACCTCCCTTTGAGTTATGGTGTGGCCACTTCCGTGGGTCCCATTCAAGGAGCTGGACCTGTTCCTGTATCCAGCTCTGTGGTTGAAGAACCATTTGGGAAGAAACCCAAGAAGGAAAAAAAAGAAAAAGGAAAAGAAAACAACAAAGTGGAAGGTACTTTACCTAAGGATGTCAGTCTACCATTTTTCTCACACATTCATAGCAGATACCCGACACTGTGACTAGTGTCTACATACTACCACCAAAACACCTTAGAACTGATGGGAAGAAATTCAGATTAGACATAAAGAAAAAAAGCTGGGCTCCCATCTCTTTTGGATAGAGAGTTACAGTCCTTAGAGAATAGATCACTTTTAGAAAAACTCTTCTGGCTTTCCAAATTTTAGATAATGAAATTGAAGCTCTCGTTGATTATGACAAGTTGTTGGTTATGACAATGAATTAGTAAGGACACTAAGGGCCTGAGGAGAAATCAGTGCCCAAGCAATATGTAGAGCCAGAAAACTTTTCTGTAGCTTCCACATGTAAGTTCTGCCCCTTTCCTCAGTACAAGGGGCCTAAAGTGGGTGACCCTAGGTTTGCGTTTCAGTTCTGAAGAAAGCATCCAAGAAAAAGAAAATGGAGGGAGGTGCTCGCAAGCTGGTTCAGCCCATTGCCCTGGATCCCTCAGGACGGCCTGTGTTTCCCATCGGACTAGGGGGTCTAACAGTTTATAGCCTAGGGGAGGTGAGTGAGACCAGTGGTGGGTAGAAAGGGTGATCAGCTAAATTTGGGAATGGGATTAAATGTCAGTGAGAATTTCTGGTCTGTTCCCATTAGCAAGTAACCCCTTGCCAATCCATACCATTCCTAGAAAACTAGTCCCTAGGAGACCAAGTCAGTTTTCTATATACACACACTCCAGGGATATGAGTCACTATTTGTCAGGTCCAGGTGGCCCTGAGTTATGACCAAAAATCTTGTGGGGGTGGGGGGGTCCTTTTTACTATAGATCATCACTGATCGACCTGGCTTCCACGATGAAGGCGCTCTCTATCCTGTGGGTTTCTGCAGTACCCGAGTGTATGCCAGTATGAAGTGCCCAGACGAGAAGTGTTTGTACACCTGTCAAATCAAGGATGGTGGTATGCAGCCCCAGGTACTAGCTCTTCTAGGAATACATATATATATATATATATATACCTGTAGCTACAGTGAGTGTTCAAAGTATGGCCTGCCACTTTAAGAAGCTCAGGGCCACATAGGGTCAGGAGTAGTTTGACCCACTTGGACCTCATGGTGGGCTATGAAAGAAACTAAGCTGGAATATATAACTCCTAACCCTCTTTTCCATTTTTCTGCATAAAGCACAGATATGGTATTGTCCAATTTCCCAATCATCACTATTTCCTGGACCCAGGTTTTAAATTCTTAAACTTCGTTGACCAGTTTTTACTTAGGTTAAAACTATGAGATTGAGTGGAGGGTCTGAACTTTGCTGGAGTGCTGGGAATATACCAAGCGTGCCTGACCACTCTAAAAAATTAATGGTCCACAAACCAGCTGAGCCTTCCCAGGTATATCTGGGTCCTTATCTTGTCCTGTGGCCATCCTTTGAGAGAAGCATTCTTACCCAGTGTCCATTGTGAGGTAGAGTAGCTCCAGATTCCACAGTGAGGTATATTTACAAGAGTAGCATGATTTGTATTTTCGCCCTCCTTGGGAAATCTACCTGAACTACTCCATCATCATTTTTCCCAGTTTGAAATTGTGCCTGAGGATGACCCTGAGAATGCCATTGTGGGCTCTTCTGCAAATGCCTGTCATTCTGAACTACTCAAGACCATCAGTGCAGCTCGGTGAGTTAGCCCACTGGTGGGCAAAATAGAATGTATTGGAACAGTGAGGCATTTTTCTTTGCTCTCAGCTCTGGACTGAGGTCTTATTTCCTATCTCTTGGATCTTTGTCCTCTTGAATAGGCTATTCCAATTTTTCCCCTTGCTATTTAGGGGGAAGCTACTTCCCAATGTACTTCCATCTGGAGCTGATTTCTTTGGGTTTTCTCATCCAACCATCCACAACCTGATCCAGAGTTGTCCAGGAGCTCGGAAATGTGTCAAGTGAGTGTGGCCACATCCACTTTCCTAAGTGAGCAAGAACTATAGCAGTCAATTGACCAGAGAATCTAAGGCTAAACTAGGACTCTAAATATGCCAGTCTTTTTCTTTTATCTACAATAGGTAATATAGTGGGGTAGGGAGTATCCAGATGTACTGAAGGGATACGGATCTGGATGTTGAAGGATGTTCATAAAAACATAGTACCCAAATGTATAATAAAATTGTTAGGGGAACAGAGATCGTATTGCTCACAAGAATGCTCCCTCTGATCCTACAGTTACCAATGGGTGAAGTTTGATGTGTATAAACCTGGGGATGGTCAGGTCCCGCAGGGGCTGCCAGACAATGATGCAACTATGAGCTTTGAGGCCTTTCAGAGACAGGCCTTTGAAGAAGATCACAATGATCCCATTCTCCCAGGTAACTTCTCTCACTTTTGTTTTTCTTGTTGAAATTATCAAACTTTCACCCACCCTATCGCTCTGCCCATAGTTTGGCATCATATAAGCAAAAGCTTTGTATGGTATGAACTGAAAGTAGAGTCAAGTCTTAGGTGATAGAATTTACTGCTTTGAGCGGCTTTCTAGCACAGTTGCTAGAATTAGCATCTCAGTCCCAAGGATCTAAGGAAAACTGTTCCCTGTCAATTTTCCTGAGATACTGCCAAGGAAGGGCATTGAAAACCTCAGTCTCTGTAACAAATGAACGAGCTAAAGATATTTAGGGATTGGTTCTGGTTCTGCCTTTTTGGACTGTCTCGCCACAAATGCACAGCATCATATTCTTTACATAATTGAGCCTGGTCAAACAGCATAGTCTACATTAGAGCCCTTATCTAAGGAGCTAGAGGACTAAATTCGAATTATGCTGTTGCCTATAATTCACTGTGACCTTAATTGTCCCTTCACATCTCGGGCCCTTAGCTTCTTCCTATATAAAAAACAGCCCTCTGTACTACACTGGGAAGACAGTCCTGACAAAATGAAGTGAAGGATGTAAGAGAATTGATTGCAAAGGCCTATTTTACCTATGTTACCAGAATTGTGACCTGGCATTCCCAGATAGCAGTAGAATTTATATTGTTTTTCCAGGATCTCTGGATCTCCCAGGGCTCCAGCCTGCATCATTTGTGTCATCTTATCAGCCCATGTTCCTGACACATGAGCCCCTGCCAGCCACCCACCTACAGCACATTAAGTCTCCATCCCAGTCCTCAGACTGAACAAGGCAGCAGAGATTTACCAGGCTTTTCATGGTGACATTTTTTAAGTTAAGATAAAACTTAAACATACGAAAGTAGCAGAACCCACCTACGATGATGGAAGCATTAACATCCTTTATCATTGTATCATAGAAGATCTCTTGGCAATGATTTTACCTGGTAAAAGACTTTGACTGTTTTTATCTTTTGTAATAAACTTTTCTTGTCATTCCTTCTTTGTTTTCAAAATGTTGTAATCAGGATCTCACTTTCCTGCAGTTGCTGCTGCTTCTGCCTAAGGCTAAAGTGAATTCCTCTCCTTCACGTAATTCATTTTGCTAAAGCTCATGTTACAGAAAAAGATAATGATTCTGATTTGGCAAGGCTAACAGCTTATCAGCTAGTTATCTATATATTGATCTGAATTCTTCCTTTGGCCCAAATTACTACCTCATTTTTATGGTAAGACTTCATTGAAAGCGAGAGCCTTACACATAGAGGCAAGAGAAGTCTGGCCCATGCTTAGTCAGCAGTTTCCTTATCTCTTCTGCCACTTCCCTAGAGACAGTACTGAAAGTCTGAGCTTTGATCACCCCGTCCAAGCTCCGGCTTCTTGGTTCCTAGACTACATTCTGTTCTAGACATCACTAGGTACTGACAAGAATGGTTTCCTAGGTCTCGCTGCATGAGCTAACTAGTCTCGAGCCTCCACTGCCTACTCCAAACTTCTTACAGCAGCCCTACAGATTTACCCTCTTAACAATCCCGATAGCCAACAGCCATTGATCCCTGTGTATTCCACACACTCTGTTTATTCTGAACACCACCAAATAAGATGGGATACTTATCCTATTTCAGTAGTACAATTTCTGCTAAAAAGGTTAGGAATAAATATAGTATTCTGTCAATCATCAGATTGCTTTAAATAGTACTTGATAAAACCTGGCTTAATAAGGTTTTAAGTTAACTAGTAATATAAGAAGTATCTAATCTATGGTTTGAACAGGGTAGTAGAAAGAACATTATATTTGGAATCAGAAGACCTGGGTTCAAACCCCACCTGATTTGCTATGTGACTATGGGCAGCTTCACAATTTCTTCATCTGTAAAACACGGATGATACAAGGGTTATAAGGAAAGTATTTTATAAATCTTAAAAGCACCACATAAGTTGATATAAAGCATAGATTCCTAATAAAGTAGGCAGATATAAGAAAAAAAACACCCTAGGATTACCAAAATAACTTTATTTTTATATTGCTTATCATCTTAAAGATTTGCCTTCTTTTAGAAATATAATATACAAAAACCCAAAATTTAGAGACAGAAAAAATAGGTGATAATTTTGCTTTAAAGCAAATCATTTTTCTTAAACACTGGGCTTTCCTACAGCATTTAAATTTAGAACAGTGCCTCCCAAACTATTTCTCACAATGTGAATGTGAAAAACTTTCATGAGAAAACATCAATACTAGTGATACTTTCTACCTAAAATATTAAATTTGCTCAGTTCTGGCTGGTGGTTTTTTTGTTTTTGTTTTTGTTGTTGTTTAAGGTAGTCGGGGTTAAGTGACTTACCCAGGAACATACAGCTAGTAAGTGTCTGAGGCCAGATTTGAACTCAGGTTCTCCTGACTCCAAGGCCAGTGCTCAATCCACTGTGCCACCTCAGTGCTTCTCTGGCTAACTTCTTAAAGGTTCCACCCATGATTGTTTATAGAAAACCAGACCAGAATTTAAGACCTGAGCATTTCATCCAGGATCTAATAAAAACTAAATTAAAATGAAATCTCAACCCAAATCAATTATTCTTTTTCATTCCTTTTCCTTCCCAAATTTTGCACAGCCAGGAGTCTTAACTTGGAATGACTATGATGAATGGTGGGGCTGGCAGGGCACTGCTAGGATTGTAAATGGGACACTGTTTGTATTCACATGGCCACGTAGTCCAGGCATAGCGGAGAGCAGTCACAGTGCCATAACAGGAATCAATTTTAAGGGCTAGAGTCTGGGAGGAGGAGTTGCCCATAGGGACTGGAATCCACTTACACTGATGGTTATTGCAGCATGAGATCTGAAACAAGAACAGAACCAGTCAGATAATCAGATTTCGTCAGGTCCGACAGGTTTCAAGAAATCCCCAAAGACTAGGGCTAGTTGTCCACCCAGTAATAACAGAGGAGAGAAGAGTAGCTCCTGGTCAAGAACGCATTTCTTACATTAACTAGGAATACAAAGCAAGAAGAGAAACAAATCTTTATAGTTAAAACAACTAGAATACTCTATCCCTGGTGCATTACACAGTACTTGGCATAGTCAGTGTTTTTCATTCATCCAAAAATAAAAGTCTGGAGCAGAGGCCACCACTATTGACTAGCTAGCACCAATGGGTAATATCTAGCAAAGCTTTCATATTCAAGGTCTCAGGAATCTCAGGCAGGTGCTAAGAATGTAATTTTGGAAGTGACCCTGCTATATAAATCAAGGAAGAAGTATATATATCACAGAAGAAAATTTAAGGATAGCTTCTTATGACAGCAAACAATTGCAGTCTCTGGTTGCTTCTTAAGGAACTAAAAAAGGGATAAGGAAGGAAGCACTGGAAAACAAGGAACCTTCTTTAGGTAGTAGACTTAAGTCCCCAACTAAGGAGACTGATAGCATTGACACATAATAAATAAGCTAAAGATCAGTCTTGACCAAAACCTGTGGTTCCTAGTAAATGAGAGGATCTAAGATGAACAAAGATCACCTGGACATCACACCTAAGTCAAAAGTAGCCTTCACAAATCGTGGTCTTATCACCAAGAATTTATTGAAACACCTGATATGTTGTTAGCTACACTGTGCTAAATACTCAAGATATAAGGACAAAAATGACAAGTCTCTGACCTCAAAAAGAGCATGGGGAGGGGGGTGAGACAACCTAAACACAGGTGAGGCTATCTAGGTGGATGAAAGCCAAATATGAGCAGCTGGCACAAACAGTAATGATGACTGTGGCTCCAGAGGTGGGCAAACAAAATTTCTGTGTTGACAGAGTTTACTCTGCATTTGGCATCTTCCATTTTCCCTTCAACCTTTTCCCCCATGTTTTAGTACTTCCGTCTGTGTAGGCTCATAGGGAAGAGGAAACCTTAGAGGTCATATAGTCTAAACCCCTTATTTTGCAGATGAGGAAACTGAGGCCCAGAGAAGTTAAGTGATTTGCTCAAGATCAAACAATAAATTATAAAGTTGGAATTTGAACCCAGGGCCTTGGCCTCCAAATCTAACCTTTTCATCTTCACTACTACCTCCTCCAAAGAGTACCCTATATGCCAAAATTAACTCTTCCTTCATCAAAGCCTCCACATCCCTAGGCTAGTTATGGGAGGAAAAAAAAAATGTGACAAACTGAAAAAAAAACATTCTGCAATTCCAAAAAAAGTGGATTTAGAATCTGAACACCTAGGTTCAAATCCTAATTGCTATCTACTGTGTGGCCTTGGACAAATCACTTCATCTCTGGGTGTCTGTTTCCTGCAACTGTAAATGCTATGACTAATTGTATACTAAGATATAGCTAGCTAATTGTCAAAGCATAAGGACATTTGCATTTTAAAAGAGGACCTGATTAACACAAAATAATCACTAATAAAATTTTAAACTATCAGAGTCAGTCAAAGCATGAGGTTAATATTCCAAAGTCAGGAGTGCCTTTAGGTACATGACCTATACAAAGCTCATTACAATATCACAGAGAAAGTAAGACTAGTTTACATATGACCCCATTTTCTATTGTTTCCCTCCTATAAGATTTGCCTTCAATTTGTTACATGTTCAGCTTGCTAATATTTGTCACATATGTTGTACATTTCACTCTTGCTAATAGTCCTGACCCACAGAAATGTTACAATTAAATATACAGGACTCTGAGACCCTTGGTGAGTTTGTCAGATCTCCATTTGTTTTCCTATGCCTCACCTCATAGATCTTGTCATCCTGCTTCTGCACTTGGATTTTCTGGTGGTATTCAAGTTTGAGAAGTTCCTTGTCAGCTAAGATTTCTATCTTTTCAGGCAACGGACCCTGAAAAGGAAGCATCTTCTCTCCATAAGCTACAGCACGGGCCCCCAAATGCAATCTGTAGGCCACAGTCTGTTTATCTCTAGGGTGAATGCTATAAGAAAGAACATGGAAAGGAATACAGGTTTAAAGAATTCAATGAGCTAAAAAAATAAACATCTACAGCATTTTCCAAATAGGACATAGTTGGTTGGATCTACTGGGCAGTCATCTGTAGCTCAAGACTGTTAAGCACAATTATGGTGAGTGGGATCCAAAAGGTGTGGCTTGGTGCCCTTTCTCCTTAAACTGATGGATGGCACTGAACTGAGGTGACAGAAAGATTTTATAGTAAACTCAGGTGAGGCCTCAAGCTCCCTCTCACCAAAAATTATGACTGCTCCTTGAACAGGTACATTTCGGTTCAGGTATCAAAGTAACTAGAGGGTCCTAGTTTCAACAAAGAGATTCATCTAGGTCAGCTGCTCCCCTAGGTGTTCCCCACCCCTAACCTCCCCCTCTAACCTAAAGCTATCTGGTTTCTGACTCATATTACATTATAGTTTCCCATTTCCCCCACAACATCCTCTTTCCCAGACAGCCCTGGGCCCATTACTCTTCTTTTTTCAAAATGAACACTGGTGGCCATGCTTCAGGACAAAATGCTCACACATTATTCAAGCCAAGTCCAAAACTTGTACCTCCCAAAAGGAGAATCTCTGTCACAGAGGTCCATTGCCACAGCCATGAAGGTATTGGGCATCCTCACATTGGGGACATAGCCAAGATCAGCTGTTTGATGCCAACGGACTCTTGGGAATCCATAATCCTCCTCCTTAGACATAGTTGTAGATAACTAAAGAAGAAAAACAATGTTCAAAGTAACATCCTAGGATTTACAAACTGATAATCTTTTCCCCACTAGAAGGACTCTTTCTTATGTGACTTCTCATTCAACTGTTATCACTGAGTTAGGTAGTTTGGAGGATGTAAAGTATAAGATATGGTCCCTTCTGTATGATTAAATGCCCAACAAAAGGTACAGACGGTGCTATGAGTTTCAAAGAAAGCAGAGGTCACTTGGGATAGAGTAGAGAAGGAAGACATCATAGAAGAATCACAGAATCAAGGAATTTTAGAGTTGGAAGGGTTTGGGGGGGCTACCTTAGTCCATCTCATAACCCTCCTTTACCTGCCCAAGAATGCCCAATACAGCATCCCTCATATGATCATCTGGCCTCTGCTTTGAACACTTTCCACCATTTTTGGACAGCTCTACTAAGTAAGAAGTTAGTCCTAATCTTAAGCCTAAAAGTGCGCTTTATAGCTTTATAGCAATAAATTGCCATTTATTGTTCCTAGTTTTGCTGTCTCAAGCCAAACAGACCAAATATAAATCCCTCTTTCATATGACAGCCCTTCAAGTATTTTAAAACAATATTTAATTTTTTTTATCTTCTCCATGCTAAACATTCTTAGTTCCTCCAACTGATCTTTACATGGCATGGACTCAAAGCCTGTCTTCATCCTAGTTACTCTCCAGATGCTCTCAGTCATCAAACTATGGCACCCAGACCTGAATATAATACTTAAAATGTGGCCTAACCAAACTTATAGAGGAAATCTTTATTACCTCCTTACTCCTAAGAGATAGGACTCTTCAATGTCCAAAGCCATTTTGGGCCATTTTGGATGCCTTATCTATCACACTGCTGACATATCTTGAGTTTACTGTGGACTAAAACTCCAGATCTTTTTCAGACAAACTACCTTCTAACCATGGCTTTCCCATCTTGTAATTGTGAATTTTACTTTTCAATACAAATGTAAGATTTAACATTTATCTCCACTGAGTTTTATCTTATTAGATTCAAACCAATGCTCTAAGCCTGTCAAGACATTTTTGGATCCTAGTTCTGTCCCAGCTTTGTCATTTGCAAATTTGATAAACGTGTCATCTATGCTTTTACCCAAATGTTAAACAGAATAGGGCCAAGCAGAGATCCCTGGGATACACTGGAGACCTGCTAAGTTGTCTTTGAACCAATAAATCTATACAAGCACTTATTAGATGCCCACTATGTGTCAGACATTGTGCCAAGTACTGGAGATACAAAAGCAAAAATGAAATAGTCCCTATCCTCAGGGAGTTTTTATTCTAACAATTACTCTTTAAGTCTAGACTTTTAACTAGAGTTCTGATTCCATCTAAATTGTATTGTCATCTAGTTACTTCTAGCTCTCTTTTCCACAAGAATAGGAAGAGATAATTTATCAAGTACTCTGCTAAAATCTAGGTAAGCTATATATGTGAGATGCTGTGAGATAGATATGTGTGTGTTTATACACACACACACACACACACACACAGATTTATATATATACACAAGGCGCTTGTAACATATAGAAATAAACATAAAGAACATAACATAACAATAACATAAAGAAATTCTGGAAGAGAGGGTGATCATTAGGGTAGCGAAGAATGGGGTGACAGGAAAGAGCATCACCAACTGGAGTGATCAGAAAGATCCTATGGAAGAAGTGGCTGTCGTCTCAGGAGTCAACTCCACAAAGCTTTCCGTAATCCCTCCAGTTAATGCTTTCCTCTCTCAAAAATTACCATCTGTTTCTTTACCTGTGTCCATCAAGCACCAGCCTCCTGACTTTGGGGTAAGTGGAGAAAATGCCATTACATCCTGGCAGGTCTCCTGCCTCCCATGGGAAGAGGAGAAATGCCATTCCATCAAGCACTGAACCTCTCCCTTCTAAGGAAGGTAAGAAAGGCCATTCTATCAAAGTCTTTAGCCTCGTTTCCTGCCTTTGGAGAAGGGGACTAACACCATTCCTTCATTTCTCAGCACAAATCTGCTCACCTGAATTTCCTAAAGCCCTGAAAGGACTCCTTCCTAAGGCCAAAGCCCTATAGACAATGAAAACTTGGTTAAAATTATTAACAAACTCCACAGTCATACCCTTGTGAAACTCCTACTGTCATCATTCAAACCCTATTTTCTGTCCCCATTGCCTGACTCCCAGTCCTTTAACCCAGCTGTCTCCCCATACACACACACACACACACACACACACACACACACAATATGCCCTACTCTAAAGCTACCCATCCATCCTTCCCCATGTGCTCTTTGGAATTTATGTCTCATAGTTTTACATTTTGTTTTCATCTTAAATCTTTTCCTTTCCCACTACAACTTCTATCACTGAGGCCGGGCTCTGTCTTGATGATACAACCTCCCTGGCCTTGCACTTTCAGGTGGGTATGTTGGAATATTTCTTGCTCCCCATTGCCACTTCCAAGTTCGCCCTCTTGTAACTCATTCAGTAACCTCTCCTCTGAAGTTCATTCAATCCCCATCTACTGCCCAATCAAAATGCTGGTAGCTGTTGAACTGACCTTCAGCACACTGCCCCCTTTCTTTCTTCAATGAGTTCAGTGCTTGACTCACAATCTTTCTCTCCTCAACTCTAGCCCTCATACTAGGGAATTTAAACATTCATGTTGATATGCCCTCAAACACCCCAATCTTACGTTTCCTCAATTTAATCATTTCATATAACTTATTCCTCCACCCCACCTCATTTCCAGTTCTTTGACTTTGCTCATACTAATCACCCTTCTGCAATACTTGCTTCCCTTCTTCAATTATCATCTCTATGCCAGTAATTCTCAGACCTACTTTTCCAGCCATAACCCTGTCTCCTGACCTGCAGACTCACTTCCCCAGCTGCCTTTTAAATATCTCAAACCGGATGTCCTGTAGACATCTTAAACTCAATATACCCAAAACTAAATTCATTGTCTTCTCCACCCCCCACCCCAAACCATCTTCTCTTCCTAACTTCCTTATCGTTGTTAAAGGTACCACCATCTCCCAGTCACTTATCCAATCTGTTGCCAAATCCTGTTGATTTTATCTCTCACATTCACCCCCCTCTCTCATGTGACACTGCCAATACCCTCACGCAAGCCCTCATCACCTCACACCTGGACTATTGCAATAGCCTATTGGTTGGTCCCCCTGCTTCATGTGTCTCCCCACTTCAGTCCTTCCTCTACTGTCAAATTAATACTCCTAAAGAGCAGATTTAACCATGTCTCTCACACACACACACACACACACACACTCACTCAATAAAATCCAGTAGCTCCCTGTCACCTCCAAGATAAAATAAAAAATCTTATGTTTGGCACTTTAAAAGCCCTTTTGATCGCCTTCTACCTTTCCAGTCTTCTTACACTTTACTCCCCACCATGTACTCTGCAATCCAGTGACTCTGGCCTCCTTGTAGTTCCTTGAACATACTCCAGACTCTGGGCATTTTCATTGACTGTCCCTCATGCCTGAAATATTCTTCCCTCTTCATTTCTGCCTCCTGCTTTCCTTGGCTTACTTCATCTCATCCTCTAAAGAAGCCTTTCCTGATCCCCCTTTATGCTAGTGCCTTAATTTCAACTTATCTTATATATATCTTGTCTCTACATAGTTGTTTTCATGTTGTTTTTCCCAACAGACTGTAAACTTTTCAAAAGCAGAAATTATCTTTTACCTTTCTTTGTATCCTGTGTGTATTCTTTAATGCTTGCATTACTTTATTCCTCCCCTCCAGCACCATCTTGTTAGTAAAATATTTTATATTTAAATTACAATGCTAGTATACCAGTTTCAACCCCACTGGACAATCTCCCTGATGCATTAACCATAATGTTCTAATCAGTATTTGTTAGATCAAGTCATAATCAGTAACAAAACCTGCATTTCTTATGTCCCCAACATCTGACCATACTGCCTCAATTCCATTTCTCCTCTTATCTGCCCATCCACAAAAACTACATCATAAAAGGAAAGTACACAGTCATGTACTCTCCTCTTTTTTTTACTCTGCCCAGTAATCATCTGAAACCATCCCTGCAAATATGAGGCAAATCGGAGTTGTCTGCCACTCTCAGTCAGAAAGAAAATTGAGAGTCCCTAGAAAACTACTGAGGATCTCTTTATATTATATGGGTATAGAGATGGTCCCACCTTTCTTATAGAAATGAATTAGATCACAAGTCAGCATGGATACTATCAGGAAGCATAGTTAAACCATGATATATAATGTTTAGTTGTTCGTTTTTGTTTTTGCTTTTTTCCCCACTACTGAAAAGCTATAAAACTAAACTCTGTGAAAACCAGGAAATCCAAGTCTGAAGGTGCTGTGAGTGATGATGGTCCCAGGACTGTACCCCTAGATGGGAAATTCACAGCAAGGATTCAAGCTCTACGTCTTAACTATTCTATCAGCCATAGTAGGGATAAGAAGAGCAGCACTCTCAGGCCTTTTCAGCCTGTAACCTAATTGGGACAAACACTGTTGTTGGTACCTCTAAGCTACTCTGAGCACCCTGATCTTCACTGCTTCAGGTCAAGCCCAGAGTTAAGTAAATTAAGACTGAGGAAATATTTTCTTATTCCAAAGACACCCCTGTCTCTACAGTCACCCACACACACCTAGACTATAATCATTCCTGCTAAGCATTTGGCCCTAGCCAAATAAGTTATCACACAACTTTACTTGCAGAAAACAGGAGATGCTGCAATGAATTCCTACCCTTGATTCTCCATAATATACCTCCATTACACTACTATAGTCTAGCCACAGGGAGGCACCAGCTCCTCTGCTTCTGGAGCCAAAAGGACATTTTCTCAAGCCTAGACATTAAAGGTCCTGCCCATACTATAAAGATCAGTTAAGGTATTGTTGCTTTCCATAATAAAAGTCCATCAAAGTGTACAAATGGCTACATTAGGGAGGACCCACATAAATAACAACTATATTTTGTCAGTATGAAAG